TTGTCATATGCACTTGGCAGAGAAAGAGAGATGGAAAGCAAGAAATCACCCATCAGGAGGGAGGGCCACGCCATGATCTTTTCTCCTTTATTCTCCTCCTGGGATTTTGGGCACGCACACACACGTGCCCAGCATGATTATCAAGCCGCCATGCCTGGGACTCAAACCATGGTTGGTCACGTGGGAGTCCATTGCCTTAACTGCCATGCCCTGCTGGCGCTGGCCCCTTCAATGTATTTTTTCTTTTTCTTTCTTTCTTTTCTTTTTTTTTTTTTTTTTGAGAGTTTTTGCTACAGGGTGTGTGTGAGAAACAGAGAGACAGAAAGCAAGAAATCACCCCCCGGGGGGATGGCCATGCCGCAATCCCTTCTCCTTCATTCTCCTCTCAGGATCTTGGGCATGCATGCACACGTGCCCGGTGTGAGTTTAAGCCACCAAATCCAGGACTTGAACCATGGTTGACTACATGGGAGTCCAGCAACATAGCCATTACGCTAACTGCTGGTCCCTTCTTTTTTTAAAATTAAATTATTTATTTCATTGTATTCATTAATTCATTTATTTTAATTTGACCAGAAAGTGAGAGAGAGAGGGAAAATGAGAAAGTGAGCTGCCAGGTCCAGGACTCAAACCATGGTCAGCCATGTGGGAGTGTCCAGCACCTTAACCACCACGCCACCTGCTGGTCCCACCCTTTTATGTATTTTTTAAAGAAGAGTTTTCTGTCCCTTTCAAGTTGAGGACAAGTGGCCACACTTTTCCTCCCTCTCTGCGGTGAAACTGTTTTGTCCCCATTTGAGGGGGGAGCGGAGGTTGCCGAATCGGCTGTAAGTTTTACTTAGCATTCATTTTCTGCGTTAGACTCAGGACAGACTGCGAGTCCTTGAGGAAAGAAATTCCCAGTATCAGAGACCCTGATCTGGAAATGGGGTGGGGGTTTCTGTCTCCGTCCCCGGTTCTTTGGGGAAGGACGAACCCTCTGCAGTTGCACCTGGGAGGGTCGCATCGGGTTAGGCGGGAGCCGTTCGTTTGTCGTTTGTTTTCACCCGTGACAGAGTAAATGTGTGCATGAGGGAGAGGAGAGGGAGAGGCAGCAGCTGCCACGGGGCTCAGCCATCGTCCCCTCCTCGGCCCTCCAGCCCCCGGATCCCGGACAGTGAGCTCGCCCCTCCTGCCCCTGGATCCCGGACAGTGAGCCGGCCCTTGGGTGGCCAGCCCGGGCGTCCGGCTCTGCTGCCCATACGCTACTGCCTGCAAGCCAGAGGCTGGGCCGGTTTGCCCTTTTTTTCAGGTTTTTGCCACAGGGTGTGTGTGCTCACAAGGAGAGACAGAGAGGGGGAGAGTGAGAGATCACCTCCTGCGGGATGGCCACGCTGCAATGCCTTCTCCTCCATTCTCCCGGGATTTGAGGCACACACGCACGCGCATGCACACCCAGCGTCATTTGCAAACCTCTGGGTCCAGGACTTGGACCGTGGTGGGCCACATGGGAATCCGGTGCCTTCACCTCCATGACACCTGTTGCCAGGAATATTTTTTTAAACTGATCTTAGTGGAGTATAATTAATGTGCAAGAAACCGTGCAGGTGTTTTGAAGAGATCATTGTCGCCGTGTCCACAGCAGCGTTGTTCACACTAGCCCGAAGATGGAAGGAAGCCGAGTGAGTGTGCTGACACGCATACCGGAGTACTCACTCAGCCTTGTAAAGGAGGGGAACTCTGACACGCTGCCCCGGGGGTGAACCTTGAGGACATTACACTAAATGAAAGTGATCATGAAAAGACAAATATAGCATAATTCCACGGGGCACCTAGAGGGCTCAGGGTCACAGAGAATTTCCCCAAAAGCGGCCTGGCGGTTGTCGGGGCTGGAGGAGGGAGAATGGAGGGTTGGTGTGTGATGGGCCAGAGTTCCGATTCCGTACCCTGCAGAGTCCTGGAGATGCATGGTGTCGACGGCGAATAGCAGCGTGAACGGACTGATGCCACCGTACACTTGTGGATGGCTAAGGTGGTCAAGTTTTTGTTCTGTGGATTTTGCACAATTTTGTTTTTAGGGACAGGGTCTCACCGGGAGAGAGAGTGGCGATCCTCTTGTTTGGCCTCAGTTGCTGGGACTACTGGTGTGTGCCGCTGTGTCCAACCTTTAGGTTGGATCAGGAATCGAACCAGGGCCTTCCAAGTGGTCCCAGCCTGCAGGGCACAATGTCTTAATAGTTCATGCCACCACAGCTGGGCCTGCAACGATTATTTTTTTTAGAGATATTTTTGCTATAGGGTGCATGTACTTGCCATAGAGACAGAGAGACAGAGAGACAGAAAGTGAGAAATCAGCCTCGGGGGGATGGCCATACCACAGTCTCTTCTCCTCCATTCTCCTCTTCAGATTTTGGGCATGTATGCACACACACCCAGGGTGAATTTCAAATCTCCAGGTCAGGGACTCAAACTGCAGCTGGCCATGTAGGAGTCCAGTGACATAACCATTATGCCACCTGCTAGTCCCAACAATTTTTTTAAGAGTGATTTTTGCCAGAGACACAGAGAGAAAGGGAGCAATCACCCCTCAAGTGGAATGATCACGCCCCAGTCCCTTCTCCATTCTCCTCTTGGGATTTTGGGCACACATACATGTACCTGGTGTGTTTCAAGCCTCCAAGTCCAGGAATTGAACCACGGTCGACCATGTAGGAACCCAGTGCGTAACCATTACGCCATCTGCTGGTCCCAGCAATTAATTTTTTTTTTTTGGAGAGGTTTTTGCTATAGGGCGCATGTGCTCGCCAGACAGACAGAGAGAGACAGAGAGACAGAAAGCGAGAAATCACCCCCCAGGGGGGATGGCCACGCCACAATCCCTTCTCCATTCTCCTCTCGGGATCTTGGGCACGCATGCACACGCGCCTGGCGTGAGTTTAAGCCGCTGGGTCCGGGACTCGAAGCGCGGTCGACTACGTGGGAGTTCAGCGACATAGCCGTTACGCTAACTGCTGGTCCCCAGCAGTTAATTTTATAAATGTAAAATTTAAAGTGTACTGTTCAATGAGCCTTAACAAACGTGTGCTTGAGTACCACCCCTGCAATCAAATGACAGAACATCCCATCGTCCTAAAGGGTCCCTTGTGCCCATTTGTAATCAGCCTCCCCACCCCCTCACCCGGCTCTGCTCTGGCCACCTCGGGTCTGCTTCCTGCCCCTGTGGACTTGGCATCTCCCCACTTCAGTTCCTCACCAGTGGAGTCCCTGCACCTGGGTGTTTTGACGGGACAAGCTGCTTCTGAGGCTCCTGCTCATGGTTACGCCCGTCAGGAAGTGTCCCGGTCACTGCCCAGTCACATCGCAACCTGGACACCGGCTGTGTTTAGTCATTCCCCTGCCACTGGACACCGCGGTGGCTTCATGTTCCAGACCGAGGCTCCCATGAGGAAGGCTGCTGTGAATGTTTGTGTGAACACGGTTCTCGTTCTCAGGGGTGACGGCTTAGGACTGGGGCTGCTGAGTCCCACGGTACGTTGGTGACTATGAGAAACAGAGGACCGGCCATCAAGGCGCCACAGTGCCTGGGAGTGCCCAAAAGAGACGTCCAGGTCCCAACCCCCGGGACCTGTGACGGTCATCTTACTTGGGAACAGGATCTTTGCAGAGGTAATTAAGTTAAATGTCTACACATGAGATCATCTTGGATTTAGAGTGGCCCCCAAACCCAGTTACTGGTGTCCTTACAAGAGGAAGGCAGAGGGAGAGAGTTAAGACAGAGAAACACAAGGGAAGGTGACGGGAAGACCGAAGCGGGCCGCAGGCTGCGTCTACAAGCAAGGGACGCCAGGGACAAAACTAGTGGACCTGTGTTACTCTGAGGGACTGTGGCTTACCTACTGCCATGTCCTTCTGATGGGATTGCCAATACGTTCTCTTCTAAAGGACGTTATGGCTTCGAGGAGTTGAATTCTCCATTCTGGCAAAAAGAGGGTGAGGTCTTGCAGAGATCTCGGCCAATCACAGGCAAGATGGGCAGGAGAGGCGGAGTCAGAAACGTCAGGGGGCGGGCCCCAGAGCGTGCTTGCCAACCTGGACACATTGATTGGTCCAAGTTGGCCACTCAAGAACTGAACAGGACCAATCAGAGTCCTTTGCTGAATGATTCAGTAGAGAGGCTCTTCCTTGCGTCCCTCTGCAATTATCTGCTGAGGGCAGTTACCGCAGGTCGGGTTAATTTCCCGCCCAGCACGTGTTCCCTTCTCCGTGCTTCCGCCCTGGCAAAACCTGCACCTCGAGATGGCGACTAGAAACAAGATGCTCACTGTCCCAGAGCGCTGTACAACTCGAGGTCGCCGTAGAACCCAGTTCTGGCAAAAGAGAAACAAGAATTCTTCTGGGGAGGCAAAAAAGGAGGAGCACGGAGGCTCCTGTCTACACCGCACGCTTTACTGCCACTGTGTGAGAACACAACGCTGATACTCTGCGGACAGCTTGTACTCATGAGGGGAAAGCAAAAGCGATCGCAGAGATGCCAACTGAGATGCCTGACGCCGAGTGGCTGAGCTAACCCTAGGACTGCCTGTCTCTGGAAGATTTATTACATAACACAAAAAATCGCTTAGCATGGAAGCTCTCTCAGGTGTCAATCCTGTGGGGTTTTCTGGTAACCGGCATAAAGGAGGGATTATAAGCCTGGAGCTCCAGGTGGTCATCTCATTGCACTGCAGAGACCTACCTGACAATGAAGCCGATAAAGGGCAAAGTGGAAATGAAAGAGCCACTTTGACCCCCTGGATCCAGCCATGCCTGAAGGCCCTCTGTGTGCTCAAACTCTCCACGCGCAGAGCTCCTTCGATTCTGTTTGTGACTCTGGGTTGAGTTTGTGGTCCGTACTCACACTGCCCTGGCTAATACAATGTTTAGAGCCTATACTGTTGAATAGTCACTGAGCAGTGCACACATGGGTCTGAATGCAGAGTCCAACCCAGTTTCCCGGGCCCAGAGAGGACAGGAGCCCTGGGTGGAGCGAGACCCATACAGAGTGTTTATTCCGGCGTTGATAGCAGCAGCAGTGGGGGTTGGCCAGACGCAGGGTGGGGCAAACAGAAGGGTGGACATGGGAGTGTGTGTGTCTAGGGAGACATAGGAGACTGGTCCGTTGACATTCACCAAGAGAACGAGGGTCAGGACACCAAGTCGTGGACAAACAGCAAAGAGACAGACAGGGGGCTTTGGGGGCAGGGGTGCCCCAGACATGCACGGGCCCTCGCCTTGAGGGGGAGCCCCAGGAACAGAAGACAGACACGGTGGAGGCTGAATGCCCCCCACCCTGAAACAGGGAGCTGGGCCCTCCTGCCTCCCACGCTCGTGCCTCTGGGAGTGGGAAGGGCAGGCCCAGGCTGCCCCGCACCAGCAGCTCGGACGTTATGGCTTCAAGAAGATGAATTCACGGTCCGGGCAGGAAGGGGTGGGGTCCTGAGGGGGCCTGGTCCGATCCTGGGCCTAGGCCAGACCTGCAGGACAGGGCAGGGAGGAGGAGTCAGGGACAGCACGGGGCGGGGCCAGGTGGCAGCAGCTCCCAGGGGCACTCGAGCCTCAGAAGCAGGAGCCCGGCCCCAGGCCCTCCTCCCAGCCTGGCTCCTTACCCTCACTCTGAGCTCTCTTTCTCTGATAGTCCTTTGCTGCCTTTTGTGAAGCTGGTCAAAGTCTTCTCCTGAAAAAGGAAACCCAGAAGCTCAGAGTGGGGACAGAGGGAAGAGCTGCAATTTACCTGCAGGAGATGACATCAGTCCTGGGGCCGGCAGGTGGCGTGGTGATTAAGGCACTGGACTCCCACATGGCTGACGGCGGTTTGGGTCCTGGACCTGGTGGCTTGCCTTCTCAACTTTCTCCCCCACCTCTCTGTCTCTTTGGTCAAATTATAAAAAATAACAATAGGGGCCAGGCATGGTGGTTAAGGTGCTAGACTCCCACATGGCCGACCATGGTTCGAGCCCCGGACCCGGAAGCTTGCTACTTCCACTGGGCTCTGAAGTGATGGGGCAAGCAGTATTACAGTCTCATGCTACAAATGGGGAAACTGAGGCCCCAAAAAGCAAGGTGTCTGTACCTGTGAGGAGAAATTCAGCCCCTGGGGTGAGCGGGGCAGGCCCTCCAGGGCCACGGAGGGGCCCAGGAGTGCCGTGGGTAGGAGGGGAGCAGAGGTGGCTCTGGGTGTGGAGGACCTTCTGGGGTTGTACATGGCACCGAGGGTTCAAGATCAGGGCAGGGGCAGGCCTCTCTGTGCCCCCAGAACTGCCCAGTAAGAGCGAGGCTCACAGGAAGCTTCTGGAGAATTTGTGGAATGCATTAGTGGAAGGGGACAGAAGGAGGGAGCGGGCCTCCATCCTGACACCTACGTAAGGTCACAGTTTCAGAATCTCAAATTCGAACCCTGTGCCCAGCTGGAAAACCCCTTGTGACCACCGGAAAAGTCGAAAGCCAGCTCGGGTGAGGTGACACTCTCCCTCCAGGTGCCAAATTTATGGGTTCGCCCCAATCTCAGCAATTGAGATAAAGAATATCTTGATGTGATATATATTTGTAATATACAAAATGTATTTTTTTAGAGGTTTTTGCTATAGGGTGCATGTGCTCACCAGACAGAGACAAAGAGACAGAAAGTGAGAAATCACCCCCAGGGGGGATGGTCATGTCACAATCCCTTCTCCTCCATTCTCCTCTCGGGATCTTGGGCACGCACACACATGCACCCGGTGTGAGTTTAAGCCACCAGGTCTGGGATGCGAACCATGGTCAACTACATGGGAGTCCAGCAGCATAGCCATTATACCAACTGCTGGTCCCTGTACATATTGTATTTTTCGTTGCCGGAGGGAGTTTGTGGTCGCCAGAGAGAGAGGGAAAGGGAGAAAGAATCCCCTCTCCTCCACCTCTCCCTCCTGCCAGGATTTTGGGCATGCATGCATCCGCTCTGGCATGGTTTCCAAGCTGCTGGGTCCGGATTCAAACTGCAGTCTACCATGTAACGAGATCTGGCTCTCTTAACCATGAGGTTATGGGGCTGACTCATCAATGCAATTTTTTTTTGAGAGGTTTTTGCTATAGGGCGTGTGCGCTCGCCAGACAGACAGAGAGGCAGAAAGCGAGAAATCACCCCCTAGGGGGGATGGCCACGCTGCAATCCGTTCTCCTCCATTCTCCTGTCAGGATCTTGGCACGCACGCACATGTGCCCGGCGTGAGTTTTAAGCCACCGAGTTCGGGACATGAACCATGGTCGACTACAGGTAGTCCAATGACGTAGCCATTACGCAACTGCTGGTCCCTCAATGCTATATTTTTTTAAGAATCAAAATGGGGGCCTGCAGGTGGCTTGGTTGTTGAGGGGACTGGACTCCCACATGGCCAACTGCGGTTCCAGTTCCAGACCTGGTGGCTTGCTCTCTCTGTCTTTCTCTCTCTCACTCTGTCCCTCTCTGGTCAACTGAAATAAATGAATGAATAAATAAAGTTTAAAAAAAAAGTTTCTTGACGGAGGCAATAGCTCTAAAAAATGAACACGAAGAAGTCCATGATGAACAGAATGAGAAATTTTAAACACAGTCCAGTCTTACACAGTATTGGCTTAGCAAGGACTGGCCATCCCGGCGTGGGGGGAGGGTGATGTGACTTCTCGCTTCCCTCATCTCTCCGTTTCTCTCTGGTGAGCAAAAACTCCAAAGGAAAAGTTGATATCCCTAAATACGTGTTTTTATGTATTTTCTTAATGTTTGAATGCTAAAATAGTTGAAAAATACTGATACATGAAGTGTAAGCATATTTAATTTCACAGTATTAAGTTTAAATGTCATTAATACACCAAACAGAATTTAATAGAATTTGACGTTCTCAGCTTTACTGGAAACAAATTCATCTATCACATTTTCCAAATCTACTTCTTTGCTTTTCTTGTTTTTAATTACGAGAATGACCATGTGTAATGATTTCTTTCGACCAAGTGATGGTTTTACAAGACTTTTGTTTGTTTGTTTGCTATAGGGCATGCACACTCGCTGTTGAGGGAGAGAAATTGAAAAAGTGAGAAAAAATCACCCCCGGGAAGGGATGGCCAGGCCACAAGATCCCTTCTCCACTCTCCTTTCGGGATTTTGGGCATGCACACATATGCACTGTTTTTGTTTTAAATGATTTCTTATTTAATTTTATTTATTATTATTTCTTATTATTTTTTAATTTGACCAAAGAGACAGAGAGAGAGAACAAGAGAAGAGGAAAGTGAGAAAGGAAGCAGACAGGTTCAGGACTCAAACCGCAGTCGGCCATATGGAAGTCTAGCACTTTAACCGCCACACCACCTGCCGGCCCCACCTGGCCTGTTTTCCAAACTGCCAGGTCAAGGACTGGAGCTGCAGAGTTGGCCACGTGGGATCCAGCTGCCTTAACCTCTGTGCCACCTACTGGCCCTCTTGAAAGACTTAATTTAGAAACGGCCTGGATGAGCCGGCTAGGTGGAGTACTGGCTAGGACGACTGGATTTCACGTGGCCGACAGCGTGGTTTGAGGGCTGGGCCCTGAGCTTGCGAATCGCAGCAGGTCCGTGTGTGCGCCCAGAATTTGGAGAAGGGATTACAGAGTGACCACGCCCTCGGGAGGTGATTTCTCACTTTCCCTCTCTTTCTCCCTCTGAGCCAACACACAGGCCCTACACCAAACTAAAAAGAAAAAAATAAATTAAAGTGGCCAGAGCCCAGGAGGCCAGAGCCCAGGAGGCCCTGTGATCCGCCCCATCCCCACTTCCCTCTGCTCCCCAGCTTTCTAGTTTTGTCTCCTCTGTCCTCTCCCTGCAACCTTCTTCCAGTCTTCACTTAAGCTCATAGACCTTCAGACCTCTGTTCAAACGTCACCTCCTCAGAGAAGCCCTCCCTGACTGAATCTAGTGGCCAGGGCCCAGGAGGCCAGAGCCCAGGAGGCCCTGTGATCCGCCCCATCCCCACTGCCCTCTGCTCCCCAGCTTTCTAGTTTTGTCTCCTCTGTCCTCTCCCTGCAACCTTCTTCCAGTCTTCACTTAAGCTCATAGACCTTCAGACCTCTGTTCAAACGTCACCTCCTCAGAGAAGCCCTCCCTGACTGAATCTAAAGGACAGTCTCCATTCCCTATCCAGTTCACTCTGCTCCCAGAAGAACCACAGTGAGTGTTTGGGCCACAACCCCCTGGGGTTCAGGGGCTGGAGGGGAGAGAACGACAGGATAATCTTTTTAGCAGAGGCTGCATTATGAAACTTTCTGCTCTGTTCTATTTAGACTTTATTATTTTCTTATTCATTAACAAAAATTTTTGATGCCCACCCAGCATACCGCAATCAACTAATTTTTACAACCTGTTCTTCAAAATAAACAACCCCCCAGGGGGCCAGAGATGGCTTGGTGGCTAAGGCACTGGACTCCCACGTGGTCAACTGCGGTTCAAGTCCTGAACCTGGCAGCTTGCTTTCTCACTTTCCCTCTCTCTCTCTCTGGCCAAATTGAAAATTAGTAATAATAATAATAAATAAAATTAAAGAAATTATTTCTAAAAATAAACAACCACCCAACAATTTGCCCCATCGAATCGCCCAGTTTCCCCTTTATTTTGGACTCAGCCTCATGGAAAAAGAGCAGAAGCTGACCGTGTACAGGCCCTTCCCCTCCCGAGTCCTGCCTGCCCTAACGGCAGAAGCATTAGCAGCCCCGTTTCCCAGCTGTGGGACGGCACGGAGAGGCTAAGACGTGCTCTAAGTCGCACAGCGGGAGCGGGCAGAACAGGGCCGGGACCCAGGGGGTTGGCGTCCTCGGCCAGGGCAGCGGGGACCCGGCAGCTCGCCTGGGGCCTGGCTCCACTCACCTCCACCAGCTGGTGCCAGTGCTCCACGGGCGGGCCCACGCGGCACACGCCGATCACCTCGTTGTGCCCGATGCTGGGGGTGGGGGGCGTGAGCGCCGGGCAGGGCGGGCCGGCCCCCCTCCCCGCCCCGGGCGGCCCTCACCAGTCGTAGTCCACCACGGCGATGCTGAGCCCCACGTTCTCCACGCTCTCGGGGGCCACGTCGAACACCAGGGCCTCGTTGTACGTGGGGTTCAGCGTGTTCTTCTTGATGGAGGTTTTCCGCTTCTTCAGACGCCGCCCCTCGCTGATCAGAGAGGCCTTCACGTATGGGTCTGGGGGGGAGCGGCGAGTACAGAACAGCCACGCCCTGCGCCACCGAGCCTGCGCTCCCCGGGGC